CCCGCTGCTTTGATTTCCTCCCCTCCTTTCTGGAGCTGGAGAAAGGGGTGGAGGAAGGGGGCAGAAAGCAGCAACACGTTACTGAAGCGAGGCGCGAAGGGGTTTTTTTTGTGTTGTAGCGGTAAGTTCAGCTGTGCTGACTGTGGTTAGGGTTGCTGTTCACATCCTGACGTCTGACTCTCGCTGACCTCAGGCACTCAACTGGTCTCTGTCTTGCCCAGGCGAGGTAGAGGATGGAGCTTGGAGGGACTGAAGGGTAAAAGAATTCTTTCTCTGTGTGAAACGAGTCCTGTTGCTTCATTTCTCCCTACTAGAGTTCCTACTGCGCCCAACTGGGACTTTGCTGGATTTTGTGCAGCCAGTGCAGCGAAAAAATCAAATTAAAGTCTCTTTGCCGGTTAAGAAGTTTCTAGGAAACCCAGAAAGGAGGCACAGCTCCTGCCAGGCAATGAGATTTCAGGCTGCACGTGAAAATAAAATGACAGCTGAGTGCTGGGGCACACAAATTAAATAGATGTCGGTGCATCGGCTTGGCTGCAGGGAGCTCCAGAGCTGGGGATCTGCCACCCATGGGCTGCACAGTGTCTGGTGTGGGGAGAGTCTTCCTTGCGACCCACCTTCCCACTGCAGGGTTGCTGGTTGTGGCTGTTTTGGTGCTCCCTGTCCCTGACAGCAGAGCTGAGCTCTGGGGTGTGGGCTGGGAAGGACCAAATGCAATAGGGATGCTGAGGATGGTTTTTCCAAAGCACCAACACAGCTGAAATGAGGGGCTCCAGTGAAGCTGAGGACCTGTTTGCGCCCATTTCCTAAAACTTTGGGTTGAAACTCATTCCTGCACTTCAGGGCTGTTTGCTTGGAGGGGAGGAAAGTGGGTTAGGAATAAACACCTGGAGCACTGGGGCAGGGCTTGGGGGGGATGTGGAGTTTGCTCTTCACTCCAGACGAGAGAATCTGTTTAAATTTGCATGTCTCCTGTCACGGAGGAGAGCTTTTCCAGAGGCTCCGTGTGGCTGGGGTGTGTGAGCCCCGGAGCAGTGGAATTCCCTGGTGCCCAGAGGGAGGACTCTGGTGTTTCACGCCGCCTTAAGTTCATTTTCTTCTGTCCATGAAAGCTCTTACCGTGTCAGCAAACCTTGGCAGGAAGGGCTCTGAGAAACACAACCCCAAAAGGTAAAAAAGAGCTGACTCCCCATCGCCTTCAGCCGCAGCCGCTCCTGTTCTGGTGGCTGCACTCGCCGCGAGCCAGAAAGGTCAGTGCTGTCAATTAGCTGGCTTAACCTCATTTCCCCTCCAACTTTTGAGAGAATGCCGAAGCTTTCTGGTTTGGTGAGGATGGATGTTGAGGGAAGGAGTGTGGGTGCTGCTGCCTTGTGCTATAGCCCTGCCCTGTTTAGGGGATGTTCCTTTTCTCTGCTCCTGGAGGATTTATCTGCTCCCTGGTGGCTTGTCCAGCCCCAAATGTGCCACCAGATCATTCTTAGTTCTAAAATGGGCGTTGGCCTTGCTGAGAAGGGGTCCAGCCCCCTCGCTCCTTCAAGCAAAGCAGCTGTGCCTCACGGTATCCACAGGGTTAACCTCAGGGTAAGAGTCCTTGCAGCCACAGGTTTTCAATTGGGCAGGATGTTTAATGTGCCAGGTGCTTGATGCCCCATAAAACTGCATCTCTGCACAGTCCATCCCCCTCCCACCTCCCTGAAACTAACCCCTGCTCCAGCCCACACGTGCAGGCAGCCTCTGCCTGCAAAAGTTCCCTGGGATTTGTAGTGTGTCCAAGGGGTTTAAAAATAACCTGAAAGGGATGTGGAGCTGTGCAAAGCTTCCAAAATCCACCCCCACCCGCCCCTGTTACCAGCAAGAATTTGGGAGTGAGATGTGTGGGTCAGGAGCCAAAACCCCACGGTGTGGGCTTCTCTTTTAATACAGAATATTTTAATTGTATGTGCATGGATGTTTTTATAAGGATCTGGTGTAGTGGCTGGAAGCATCACTATTGGTTGCAGATAAATGGCTGATCCACCAGTAGGGTTTTTTGAGGCAGTAAAAACCCAAACCGTGCAAAATTCAGCCCCAAGGGGAACTTCACCACTTCACCTCGGGGTTGGTGAAGGCTGCCCTCCACAAATCAGTTTGTTTGCTGCAGTTGTGCCCAGCTCTGTTTGCTGGCTGTGATCAGAGTGGAAAACAGCTGCCCAGCCCTTGCTGGGAGCTGTGGGGAGTAACTGGGACTCTCAAACACTCATTTCTTGCTGAGGAAGCTGCTGAATTGCTGCCCCAGAGCGTCCCACGAGGTCCTGGAGAAGGGCTGGGATTCCAGGTTGTGGTGCTGGACATCCCAGGTGAGGCAGGAATGCCGAGCTGCCCGTCCTGCATCCACCCCCTTTCCCTGGAGGTGTGTTCTGGGTGCAGCGGTGGATTTGTTCCTGCCTGGAATGAAGAAAGGATTTGCTCTGAGCACATGCAGTGTAGAAATCCTGACTCTTCAGCTCTTCCCATCCGTACCCCGAGGCCAGCTGGGACAGGGACACGTTGTTTCCATCAGCCTGTGCGTGGGTGGCATCCCAGGGGTGTACTTTTATCTGGCAAGAGCCTTTCCCTCTGTTTAGAGTTTGGGACAACGTCGAGTCGGGATGAAGCAAGATTTTCCCTTCCAACCCAAACCATTCCCTGGTTCTCCTGCTGATGTGGTGCAGGGTACAGGGAAGCTCCTGTACAGCTTCCATGTAATTTTGGATGTAGGACCTGCTTTCCCCTTCCCACAGCCAGGTCAGGCTTTGCTGCCGTTCTCTGCTTTCGTTTTCATTGCAGGCAAATGAGGGAGTTTGCATTTAAAGCCCGGCAGGCAAATGCAACCCCTCCTCCACTGCAGGGAAATGGCACGGTCTGAGTGTGTCTTGTATACGGTTTTAGGATGGGATCCTTCATCCTGCACTCTGCCTTGTCTGGGGAGGGCAAGTTTCCAGCCATTCCTGGCTTCCAGGTGTTTGGAGATGTGCTTGGAACAGGGTCACAGCTGGATCAGGTTCCAGGGGGGTCAGTTTGCTGTGCAGGTTGGGATGAAAATGCCCAGGGACTTGGAATGTTCTCATCCCAAAGGAAGGTTTGATCCTGAGTTATCCTGGCACAGCTCTCAGTTTCCCTGCTGCTGTTAGGAGATGGCTCTTACATGGTCAGGTTTGCTTTCCATGTGGGATAAAACACAACAGGAGAACACACCAGAATCTCCCTCTGCTTTGGGATGCCCCCTGTCCCCCCCCCGGGAGAGCCTCTACCTGCCCCCACCTGCACACACAGAATTCCAGAGCCCGGGGAGAGGGAACAAGCACTGAGAGGTGGTTTCAGGGATGCACGGAATTGCACCTGGCATCTTTGGGAATGCTTTTTGAACAGCCCAGGTGAGAGCTAGGCCTGGTGTGGATGCTCGGGTTTGGCTGGAATCGTCAGACTCTGA